AATTAATCACCATTTCATATTTCCTCCTTTCCACAGAGATAAGGGCCTCAAAAACTCTTTAGCACATTTTAATTAGAATTTATCACTGTTTGTGCGCATGGATTTTCTCATGCCAATGCATATTTATTAGGTGCTAGCAAAAAACTACATTTTTAGCCCTCAAGACGGAATAAAGAGGATTGCATTGTAACTGAATTAAATATACCAAGTTCTATTGTGGAAGTAGAAGTCCCAAAATTGAGCAAACACTTAGCTCAACCCACAACAATTATACGGCATATGAAAGTTCCCAAAAAAGAGGGAACACAAATTTTTACAGATGGATCAAAAATCCAAGATAAAGTTAGAGTTGCATTTATAGCTCACAAAGATAAACAAATTAAAATATGTAAAACATTTAGACAAAATGATTCAAGAGCAGTTTACCACTTCTAAACAGTAGCTTTGAAGGAAGCCCTTTTATGGCTTAATGCTTTTCTCAAATGTAGTAAGTCACAATATGCGAGCAATTTACACAGATGAGTCAAACGTTTTAAAGACGTTATGTTCCACGAAGAAAACATCTTTACTTATTCAAAATCTTTAAGAAACAATAAATACGGAAATAAATATTCGTTTTATTAGCCTAAATTGGATACGGAGACATACTGGTATAATAGGGAATGAAACTGTTGATACAGCAGCTAAGGATGCCAGCAGCTAAAGCTTTATTGATATCCATCTTCCTATTTCAAGACTTACAATCAAGAATAAAATTTCTAAACAAGTTTTAATAGAAGACAGATACAAGAAGATTGACTCTAACGAGTATTTCCCAGAAGTATTCCTAAAAGGCATAAAAACAAATTTCTTCCTAACAATAAATCAAGGAAAATTTCCATCATACACTTAAGTGCCACTGAATTAGGCATAGCAAGTCAATAACGAGTTGGTCCTCCTCTGGCCTTGATAATGGCTGCCATACGATGAAGCAGAGATTCAATAAGTTAGCGGAAGCATTCTACGGGAACGACTTGACAAACAGAAGGATTTCTAGTGTTGTATGATATGCTTTCACCCCTTCCTCCAAAACATCTCAAGGGTGCTCAATAGTATTTACGTCAGGGCTTCTAGGTAACCAGTTCATGACAGAGAAGTCAGAGGAATGCTCATCTAAGCAGGCATAGCCAATGGGGAATTGTGAGATGCTTAGTTATCTTGCTAGAGTGCTCCATTCATGTGAATGACAGAACAATATAAATGGATTGCGATGATCACGCAGTAACTGTACGTGCTGAATCATATTGAGAGAAGTAGGTTGGTACAAGTAACAAAGATCCCAAATCTGCCTGAGAAAACACCTTAGAGCATGACAGACCCGCTATGGCCTTGTACAATTTCAATCTGGCTTGCAGGATCCATGGCTTCATGAGACTGACGCCATATTCTAAGCCTCACGTCGGTGTTAAGTTGTCGGAATCAAGACTCAATCATGCTACTCGCTTCCAGTCCTTTGAGACCATTAACTGTGTTCTCTTGCCCAGGCAAGACATGCAGCTCATTTGCATGCATTGAACAATGACACTCTCCTGAATCTACGACTCCCCATATGCTGAAGCGAGCATTACACGGTCCGTTTACTGACGCCCTGATTCAGCTGGGTTGTAATTTGAACTAATGTTTGATTTGCTGGCTATGTACAATACGGCTGAGCCATCACACATCACTCTCGTTCAAGGCTAATTTCCTTTGCAATTTGTCCCATCACTAGTTTTCTCCCAACTATCCGTGTATTCTTCTCGGTGTACTCTTGACACTGTCGACCTTCAGAATCCTAGCACTCTTATTTCGGAAGTTGAATGCTCATGAGTGAAGCGCCCATCGTCTATCCGCGATCGAAGGTGTCTAAATCAGAAGTTTTACCCATACTGCAATTGAAACGACTGATTAACAACAACCACAGTACTAGACATATATATGAAGTTACCACAACACCCTCACGTTAGCATAAATGCGGAGCAGCAATACACAGTTTGCATAGCCATGACTATCCCTAATTTAGTGGCACTTCACTGTATTTTCAGCGATTTTTAAGAAGAAATGTAGTGTAGGTGCAAAACACCAGCACATCTAGAAGATGGTAAACATTTTATATAGCAATGCCCATTACTTTCCATTACTAGAGCGAAGCATTTACCAGGATTTGCAACAAAAATTCCAGCGAAAGATTTATTCTACAATACAAAGTGTCTGCACTTCAACAAACAATGAAATATATTATTGAATACATAGGCACAGTGATTAATAAATAATAAATCATAATACACGAATGAATTAAAGTATTTTAAGAGCAAGTAAAGATTATAACGTGTCCTGTCTACATTTGTCAAGAGCAAGACAGCAACAGAAAATTATATTAAGGCTTCTTTACCATGTGTATACATTTTCCTTCTCTGCTCTATTATTTTATTACTTTATATATTTAAAAAGGATCAGTGGGTCACTTTGATGCAATTAATCAAATGTCTAGTCGAGCGTGGTTAATTATATGTTCTCAGCCTTACAGCTGCATATACTGAGCGGATGGCTGATTAATTGTTTTGACAATTTCGGCACAGGATTTAAAATTGTCTCCTCACAGTGTTCTTCATTGAACGGGACGAGAGTTCAAAATATAGATAGATCATCTCCGCTTTTCCTCTTGAGCTATTTATAGCTGCTTACCTTACTGTAGAAATTATTTCTTTTAAAAAAGTATCAGTTTTTTCCCATTCTGATGAATTTCTAAAGAGATCTTTACGAACGCGTACTTCCCTGTAATATTCACGATACCGTTACTGCTGCAAATTTATTCAAATATTTGTACTACGTATATAGATGTAATAATTGTATTATTTAATAAAGTAAGGAATTGTATGCAAGTAAATAGTTTTCTTTTTAGAATAAGAAGAGTGTTTCATAATTTGACCACAATTGGCAATCTAACATAAAATTAGTGACTTTAGGATCCGTTTCCATCTTGTCTTTGTACAATATGTATTTCGGAAAGAAAAGTACAAATTTTTCTTTTTCGAGGTAAAATTAGAACTTTCCTCTGCTAATACATATTAATTTTGTGCGTACGTATTTTAAAGGATGACTTGTACTGCTATTAGTGATATCTCCGCCATAATATAAAATGTTTGCTACCACTGGCATAATATTCTGCAACCTCTCTGGGATTGTCCATTCAAAAGACCATAATCCCGAGAACGTACCAGTATTTAAAACCACCAAAAATAATAATTTTATAAATTAAATTTTTCCTTCACAATTTGCCTTTCACAGAATTTATTAGATTCAGTGGAATATATCATTACGTACTGGCTGCTGTAGCTATACAAAATTAAACTACCTAAATATCACAATAAGCATTTCTGCAACTAATTTTTATTAACTAACAAAATCTGATGTGGACACCACGACTTCCTTGTATGGCCTATTAAGTTATACATATTTTTTGCTGCACTTCATTTAAACATATTTCCCCTAATTCCGTTAGAGATATATTTCTTATTCAATTAATTCAGTTCTCCCTTTTCGGCAAAGCAAAAATACATAAAAACTCAAAATAGCTTCATTAAAAATTATAAAATGCAGAAATACATAAAATACCAAATACAGTTAAAACAGTGAAAACTTTTTTACAATTAAAATAAGAGTTATAAGTAAAAACATGTAATTAGGCCAGCGTGCAAGAAGGCACATTTTTCAGTGCACAAAACTGAAGAATTACTTTTGGTCTTACTCGGCAAAAAGACATTAAAGATGCAGAAACTGACTTAATTCATTATTCTACCGAGTTCCAAATGTAAACAAATGGCGGTTCGTTAGGCTTAATACGCCACTTTTAAATTGTTGATGATTCTACAACTATTGCATGCAGATTAACAAAAGGAGCATAAGAACAATATCATTCAATCACTTTTAAAGCGAAAAATTCACAATTTGCAAACATATAAGAAAGATAAAACTAAGCTCACCGGACCAGGTAACAGAGTGGGAATATAAATATACGATTAGTGGAGTCGGAAAACAACGAAAAGGGGAAGTGCACAACTGCATCTTATTGCAATCCCATACACAAAATTTCAACGCTCTACGGCTACTCACTTCGTAAAAGGAAGTAAAAATGGTAAAATTCGTTCATGAAACGCAAAGAAAAAACATTTTAACTTTCGATTACAGAATAAAAGATATTACAATTAAAGATTTGCAAAAAATTATTTAAAAATGTAAATCATAAAATAATACTTGGTACTCTGTGTGCAACATATGGTGTTTGAAACGTCTTCTATTCATTGCAAAAAATCTGCAAATATTCGTAAAAATTATTCAGTTGTATATATTAAAACTGAATGGATTTTAATGTATATCAGATAGTACAACATTATTAAAAAAGTAAAACAATCATTTTAATTATTAATGAACTGTGCTTATTTTCTTTTAATTCTCTCTGCTTCTTAATCAGTGACAAACTGAACAAATCTGAAAGATAAATTAAGGATATCATGCTTTACGAAATGACTCTACTCTGAGAATCGGTTACATGCAGAGCCGGATGAAAGTCTTAAATTAAAAGTAATTATTAAATTAAAATTAAAAGTCTAATTAATTAAAAATATTATTAAAAGTCTTAGGTTTTAATAAGATTAAAATTAAAAGTCTTAGGTTTGTGCAACGTAGTAGTTGGATGCTAAATCATGTTTCGAATCAAAGGGGCTATGTTACTTTTCTCGGAGTAGGAAATTTCTAAATATATGAATTCGGTTAAATTTGGTATACATTTATACCAAATTTTAAATATAAAGCCTTTTAATTTTTTCCAAATAACAAAGGATAAATTCTGAAAACGGATGAAAATGTTAATATGTTATTGTAGATTACCAATAAAAAGAGACGACTTGAACAATTATAACAATACTTTAATATAAAATTTAAAGCAAAAGAAACAGTTTTTACATTATATATTTAGTGTTTGAACTCTTAAAAAACTGCAAATTCAGTTAATTCAACATTTTAAATAAAAAATTTCAAATTATAAATTGAAATATTCTTTATGATTATGAAATGTTTTTATTTTTATATAAATAAATTGCCATAAATATAGTCAATACATGTACAATCAAGACAATTATTTTTAACAAATGAACATCACTTTAAAAAAATTAACAAAGTTTTCATGTCTGATTCAAAATAATTAAGCATTTCATTCAACATTTTATTTACTGCAGAGAACAAATATTAAGTTGTGCGTATGCATATATAAATAACACATGAATTTAGTCCTACAGTGATGCATAAAAAGCTACTACAGTAGCTAAATATTTTTAACAATATTCTTTCAAAAATATATAATGATGTTAATGACTGAATCTTATAAAAATGCATGAAATATATTAACAAAATGCGTGAGCTTTCCCCAGGTAAACATTTAACACATATCTTCTGTATAAAAATATAAAAAGATTATACAGACTTTAAAATTAGTATTACATTTCGAAACATTTGTAAATATATAACAAAATGAAATATTTAGAAACTAAATTTAAAACAGAAAACTAGGTTTCACACTGATTAAGCATAATTCTAAGACGTATGAAATTTTGAAAAGTAATATGTATAAATTTTATAGTTTTTTCTGAGAACGAATTCTGAATACTCACTACTGTATGCATGTAAGTTGCAATAAAAATTTAAAGTATTGTTTATTAGAGATAAAATTAAGAAGTCATATGAAAATACAGAGATACGTTTTCAATTAATTGAGTAATTTAAAACTGCAATGTGAAGTTAAAATTATTTAAACTTCTTTGAATTAGTAGAGGACTATATACAAGATTAAATCTGAATACAGAAATATTTCTTCTGTTCAGGTACTTGCACAAATATTTTGAACATTCGAGGTTTCAGCAAAAGGCAGAAATATAAAATCTGTCCCAAATAAAAGTAAATTCAGACTGATATTCAGTACAAAATTGGTTTTATTAACCAATTTTGACATGGACGTATTAACACACTGCATATGGACGTATTAACACACTAACTAATGACATGGACGTATTAACACACTGCATAGTTGCACGTGTGAGCGCATCTTACTACAAGAGGAATTGCAACTAACATTCTACCGTCTGCAGGGATAGGTTACGTTCTTTTCAGAAGTGTCTGATGCCACTTTTTATTGAGTATAGTGGCTTTGATAGCCTAACGCGAAATTTAGCTTGAAATTTGTCTTGGAAAATAACAAAAGAGTATACTTTGCATGTGCCTTTGCGGCAAAAACTCTTTGCTTGTGTATCTGCATGTATTATACATCTTCTATAGTAACTTGCTGTCACGTATATTAAAAGAAGGCACATTCATTAACAAGATTTCTTACAGCATTGCTACTTTAGAATTAGCAAAAGGGTATTTCAAAATCAGTATGACCAAACAATAACAAACAAATCAAATTAGCATGCGTTTCGGTTTGGTTTGGGTATACTTTTATTTGAGACATTACATACTGTTGAGAATTAGATGTCATAACATAATTTTATTAGGATAGAGACTTTCCAATGAAGATCAAATTTTCAAATAACATTAAATTTCTGGCTGATCGAAGTACAAAAATGTACCACTCTTCCCTAAAAAAGGCTAAGTAAATATGAACGGAAATTTTTCTATTTGAAATTGATCGATTCGCGCGTTATTTAACTATTTACATATAAATAGTGTTTTAAAGTATTTCTGTGTTCATAACATTGCAAAACTTTACAGCTTGCTTCTATGAAAATTCGTTGCTACTTGATTTCTGTTGTCTCAAGAAAACGTGAATGATTCTTCACTTTTCATACGTTGGATTTCCCTTGGATAGTGGCTTTGAAGAAGTTAACTAAAATTATATTCAAATTATTCATAAATTAAAGGGAAAAATTACGTCTTACATTATTTTAAAAATGAAACAAACTCTATAACATTACTAGATGTAAATTGCTACCGTTATACCATTTACATTTCAGAAATACGAAGTACAAAACTCAGTTGCTCTGTACAGTATTATATAAAATATTAATACATATATAAAACTATGAAATTTAAAATTATGAAACGGAAAAAGAGCGATATATTTTTCGATAACTGGGATAATATGTTTTTAAAATTCATCGGTTCTTAGAACACCTGAGTACAACGGAGCATACAAGAGCTCTCTGCTCAAGGGATGGCGCCTTCATGAATGGCTTTCAAGAGGAAATTGACTCATATTTACATTACACGTCGGAAAAAGAGTGAAAATATCTATGCAGCTAGCTTATTCGTTCGTATCTGAACTCGGATCGAACCAGTAGTGTTGAGTGGTTTTATACACTCAGCCACTGATGAACTTGATAGTCCGTTACTTTAAAATAGGTACATCAAAGCTATTTTTGAACACCCGATTTTATTTGTAGCTTGTTAACGAATCGCTGTCCCCTTATAATTCGAACTTGTTCAACAGCTGTGGAAAAAAATCGAGACGCTTAATTTTATTTCTCTTCTTTCCCGTTTGCTGCATTTCGCTTGATGAAAAGCAAGCGACTGAAGGCTGAGTTGAACCACAGCTTCAAATGATGAGGAGAAAATAAAGGCTGTGAGGTGATAATGACACAAGATCGCATATTGTCGAGGTGCTGGCAACAGCCTTGAAGTGCCTATTTTTAAAGTAACAGATAATAGCAGAAATCCTTTCCATATTCGGTGCTCAGAAAATATTACGTATGTAAGTAGCATTTGGTTATTGTTTGGTTATAAAGTGATGAGGTATATCTTGATTCCTTAAGACAAAAATCCTTTGCCCGCTAGTCAGAACGTTAGGATGCTCCATAACATAAAGCTCTTGATATTCGTTATACATACTAGTCACTTTCATCATAGTCTATTAACTCAGACTGACCCAATAAATATTTTAGTTATGCAAATCCATTAATTTCGATAACATTTTGAAATTATCCAAATGGTAAAACTTTGCCCAAACCAGACATTGATAAGAGCAAGATTGATTAGTAAAATCAATCTTGCTCTTATCAGTATAAAACTTTTGTTACGATTTTAGCTATAAAAAATATTTCACCCATGTTTTCCACTACGAGACGCCTATAAACATTTAAATTCTGTATATTTTTACTGAAAAGCGTCATGTGGCCGCAATTTTCGAAGCTTATTTAATTTGATTTACTTCTTAAGCCGAAAACAGATTCTCCAGCCAAGAAGTACTTAGTCCTGCAATTATTCTTATATAAATTATACATATACCCTGTAATCAATTTTACGACGTCTCAAGGGTAATAGATGGGGTCTCTATAAAACGGAAACCGACTCTTTTTAGAAGAGTAGCTTCATAACTGAAAGATATTCAAGCTAAGGTTTTTTTTTTCTGTGACAACAGTTTCGTCTTTTCCCTTTAGATTGCAAAACCGGAATCGTGTGTTATCATAATAGATTAATTGTCGAATATTTAACTTACCGCTAGATCATTTTAAGGCATATTTGAAAAGAAACTGTTGTCAATAGCAAATAAACTAATGTATACGCAGGATAAACACAGCCTGAGCCAGCAATTATCTATCTGATTAAGTCTCTGACTTCGTTTGTAGAGTTGCTTTGTCATTACATAGAACTTTACCACACATTAGGCCTATGCTTTAAGTTCAGTGTTCACATATTCTTTCGTGCTTCGACTTTACTATTTATTTGACAAAACCCTATCAATACTTGAGATTTTAGTAAGGAAATTAAGACATTCTGTTCAAAATTTTGGGTGAATAACTTTGCAGTGAAATGCAAATTAATAGCTCTAAAAAACTGTTGAATACATTGACCTGTTCGAACTCTTATTGTGTAAAAATACATACTTGGAGAGCCATGAAAACAATTCACTGTCTTATGACAAGTTGAGCAAATTTTTATTCCTAGGTGGGTGTGACGTCAAAATTTATGCCTTTGATATTTCAGTAATGAAGCGGCATTCAAAAACTGTTAAAGGGTTTTAGTCATAGAGGCTTTGTGTCCTTGAAGGCCTATTTTTTCGTTTTGCGATTTTGCGTTTGCCATCAAATACTATCGCTCTGTATTATATTTGAAGAAATTAAATAATGTAGAATCTGCATAAACGTACATACGTTTCTCGCATTGTGATAAAACAACGGTACCTAGAGCTATCCAATTTTAAATAACGTAATCCTACTGCGAATATGGGCATCTGAAAAGCCAAACTTGAAATTTGGAATTTGTTTTATTATCAATTTCATATTTTGTAAAACTTTAAGTTAAGTTTAAAACGCCCCTTTGGACGTAATTTAAAATCTGAATTTTTTTAAAGTTTTTTTTCTTTCCCCCCCTTTTTTTTCTAACCATTACAATACAGTAACGATTCCAAGCAAGTCATCGAGTGAGAGAACAAAAATAACACATAAAATACGTACCGATATACTGTAGGATAATGATCAAGTATTAGTGCATACGTATGAAGCATTAATGCGTACGTATGTTAAAGAAATTAAAACTGCGTTAATTCAATACAATAAACAACAAGTAAATAAAGTACAATAAGCAATTACAAATAGCAATCAAGCTATTCACAAATAAGACAAAAATGCGAACATAATTTAAAATGAAAGTCATTGAATTATTTTTAATCTGAAACGGTAGATAAATAGTGAAAGGGTTAAAATGAAGTAAAAAAAAATAAGTTTCATTATACATTATTACAGTATAGTAAATACTTTGTTTTTACTGAATTTTTGCATTTCTAATATTTAGCAACTGGTAATTTTCCCACTAAAGACTGATTTCATTGACTCGTTTCTTACTTTTGATTTTGCTTCCCTTATCCATTTATACACTTATTACCTATGTTTGTTTATAATTCCTAACATATTTTGAAGAGCTATGACGCGTTCCGGCTCTGGCCTATTTCACTTTATATCGGCTTCACTTTTGCGTTTAATCAGTAACTGCTCTGCTCGATTTTCTAAATGCGAGTGGTAGTTGATACAGTATAAAAAATCTTTTAATACTAAATATTAAAGAGGTTTAAATTTTGAATCAATTAAAAAGTACTCAGAATAACGAGAACGAGATCAGTTGAGAATTGTGTACTGCTAGTGAATTGGACAAATGATGAATAGAAAAGAGATTACTAGAGTTTTAAGTCTAATTCATCTTATTCTCAATTATTAAATATATTCTTTCACTTAATTCCTCCCATTTCTATTCTTAAATCATCGTAAATATAAAATGAATTCTTCTATAGCATCTCTAAGGAAATGATGAAAAAAGAAAGAATTTTTATACCAATATCTGCAGATGGAAGTGAAATTTCATAATCAAAAAAAGCTAATAATTATTTTGCTACATTAAAAATGTGCATTGTCCCACTGAAAAGCAGGTTATTATCAAAACTGTTTTTAAAACATTTTAATTCAAACATGCAGGAGCTAAGGTTGAATATCTAAAATTGAATCAGTTGTTACAGATCCGGATTATCACTACACCACTAGAATTTCATTAGTGTCACACAATTCTCTCTTAAATGCTGTTCGCCACGTTTTAAAGTCATCGGGATGCCGAAGCAAGTATTGCGACTCGAAAGAACTTTCTGAAATTGTTTATGTACTCGGTAGCCTTCTCCAGCAGATCCATACTGCACTGTCTTATTTTTTGGCCCATTTGGAACTAGACATAGAATGTATAGTTAATGGGTTCTTAGCAACAGTATGATAAAGAAAATCATGAACACATTGAAAAACAACTCTTTTTCGTGACTAAGCGTGGAAGTAAAGAAACCTTGCGTAATGTTAAAGACCTCATCTTTGCTTGCGTGGTTTACCACGTATACACCTCAGTATATTGGAGCTACTTGATAGCGATTGAGTGTGGCTTACGTAGGGCACACACTCACCCTCTTTCCATTTCATTTCTATAGGACATCTCATGAGCTTAATTCTGGCTTAGTAGGCTGAGTTATACCAGGATTTCTACTGCCTATTTTTAATTATTTTATTATCAGCAGCAGCTTTAAACTCTCTGGAAAATATTTCTGTTAAGTTATGCATTTGGAAATATACAGCAACGCAGATTTTCACACAATTCTTCTTCTTTTTATTCTTATATTACAACTAACTATAATATTTTTTTATCCAAGACAAGTTTATATATAATGATGAGAACAGAATCAATTTGGAATTACCTAAATTATGTTGACTATTGAATATTTTTATAAGGAATTTCTGAATTATTTAAAATTCTGTCATTGAAGTTTGAATTACATTACTTGTCGACTTTTCTTTACATTGATAACATTTCATAACTAAATGTTAAGAAAACTGTAATCAATCTAAATTATTTTGTCTTTTAAGTATTCTTAAAAATAGCTTTATACATTAATAACAAATTCTTAAAAATAACTTTATAGTTTAAAGTATACATCAATACATTTTTAGCAGCACTTGCTGATTTATTTTAAGGAGAATTAATGGGTTTTTAAAAATGTTTTATGTACTTAATTTCACTAATACTCGTAATGAAATTCTGAATAATAAGAAATGAACTTTACTTCAACATTGGAAGACTTCTCAGGCTTTCGACAATTTAACTTTCTCATTGTCGGACTCAATAAAGAAAAGTCTGGCTGCGGTGATTTTCCTGAAAAGATAATATAAAATACTAATTAGTAAAACATCATAATATCCAAGAAAGTGCCAACATAACTTTTTAAATGATAATGACTCGCCTTTAGTTATACAGGAATACTCCAACAACACAGATTCTCGTTCGAAGAAAAACTACTAATGTTCAGTAATTTTAATAACTAAGCGATTGGATATTTTCTCTGGCACGCTGCGGATTTCTTCAGGGGTAGTTGAAATATTGTTATCTGAAATATTGCGATGTGAGGGAAATATTTGTTGCAAGTCTGATCTATTGAAATAAATATACAACAACGTCTTAAATAATTATGTATGTTCTTTATTGAATAAATGCACAAATCTCCCCTTTGCGTCAATTTACGAGAGATAATGTCACAGCAATTTTTTTCTTCCCATTTGTCATAGCTATTTTGAAGAGTCATTTTAAATATCACACTTTTTATGCTATATATCTTATTTTCTGCGTATTATTATTTTAGGTGTATTGTTTCCTAAATTACAAGACCTATCATAAATGCTTAGGATTAAAATGTGTTGGGTTTTAATTGAAATTTGCAAACCAAAATCAACTTTAAATTTCTTTTAAGATTACCATTTTTAGACGAAGTTTTAAATATTATTCTAGTTTTCTGAAATTGATAAACGTTACGAGATTTTAAGCTATAATATGAATATTGCAATTTTTTTCTTATTTATTTACTGTTTTCAGACAACTTAGGCCTAGCCAAAGTCGGCTTAGGCCAGAAGTAGTAACCACTTTATTGTGGAGTCACCTAATAGATGGGTCATCGTTACCTCCTATGAAGGGACGATCAGCTACAGACATGCCTTCTTGGGATTTGAACTCAGGTCCAACCACTTTATTCAGTAGGCACTATACCGTCTGGGCAGCAGATACAAGTGATAAAAGCATTTAAAATTAAAACCATGTTTCACTGTGATGATTTACTGTTTTTATTCAGATTCTCTTAAAAATCGGTTTCGTTACACTTATTTTAGAATCTAACACTATACATATTTCATTGGCCCATAATTAGATGGATTAATATTAAATGAGCATTGAAGTCTACCGTCTCATACAATATCCTATATTAATGAGTGAAACGTTTCAATATTCTATTTTAAGTAGTAAGGGAAGGGTGGGAATCTAGAATAAAAATAAAGCAAATCAATTTTTTATGCATCAATAGTAAGTTTAATAATTTTAATGTTGCTCAATACCTTTACAAATGACAGAGACGTTGTCAGTGTGGTTTCTGAATTACAGAATAAAATTCAAACATTTTCGTAGAAACGACTACACATTTCCTTCATTTACTCAAGGGTCCACATGAAATTTTTGAGATACAGCTAAATGCTACAAAATTATCATCAAATGTTAGAAGTGTTTAAAGTAGTTCCTTTTAATATCAATGCACTTATGTAGGAGAATTTTCCAAACATTAAATGCTTCAAGACATCCATTTTTTGGAATCGAAGAAAAATATGATTTTATAACCTCATCAGTCTCATCGCCGTAATGAAAATGACGGCCATGTTAATTTTGTTTTACGTTAAAAATATCCGAACGTCACACATGGCAAGATCAGGTAAATAGGGTTGATGTTCTATCACTTTAATTTGGTTTTGTTCAAGAAATTGAACTGTCAGTTTTGAAGATGGATTGTCACGGTGAAACACGAGTCTTCCATTTTCATTTCTTACAGAATTTCTGGAAGACAGTGGTAAACCATTTAGCTGTAAGTCTTCTGCTCTAACTTGACGCCTTTTAAAATAGTCCTCAAAGACCCATACTTTATTTTCTTGACATATTAAAACGTCAGAAAACAGTATATGCGTTTCATCACCAGCTATGATTTTAAATAATGCAATGGCCACCATTATTAAGCAATTTAGAGTTCCTATCCTGGTTTTGCCCAGCGCTGCGTTTTGATGTTCTGTTAATTTATGGATGACACAACGGTAAATTATTTTTTATGTTTCTTCACGAATAATTTATCTATTGCTGCGAATCCAATGTTAGGTTCTTTCTGAAAATTTTCTAGGTGTAGCGATTATATTTTATTAACATTTTTCGTATGGCCAGCACGCTTTCTGAGACTACAGCTGACAAAGGTCTTCCTGAATGTTCATCCAGAAGAGAATTTCGATCGCAACGAAGTTCTATAAACCATCTGACTACAGTGGCACGAGATGGAGCTTAATTTCCATATGCAACCTGTAGACATTTCAGGCATTCTCCTTGATTTAACCACACTTAAAAATCACAAAAATCCTACCGAGATAGTGTGCTCGCGCGAGTTTCATTTTCTTTCCTTTCAGAATTTATTGAAATTTGATAAACTGCAATTGTTGTCACAAATTGTCGTCTGTGGAGTTTAAATATGCACATCTAATAAATAATTTTTCATGCATATTAGTCTTTCACTGTCTAAAACCATTCTGAGTTACCTAATGTATAGTATATTACTTGTACCAAATGACGGGTTAAAAGACAATCAGATTGAAATAACTTGCAGTGTGCAACCGTAGTTAATAACAGCGAAACATGAAATCATACCTACTGATATTTTAGGGTTAGGTCGTATCTACAAATGCTCGCTAACAAGGCATTAGTACACACTAAATTCCCTAAGCGCTGTCTAGTGAGGAATAATCACATAAGTATAATAATTGTTCCCCTTTTAATTAATTTTACCTCCATAATCGACAGAAGAAACTGACAGTATATCACTTCTGAAAGGATGAACGTTTCTTAAATAAAGAACATATTACACAGCATATTAAAAAAAGTCCACACGAGCAGATCCTAATAATGTATTCTGGACTTTATAAAAAAATTAGTTCTAGTTTTTAGTTTCGGGAATTATTTTTTAAGTAAACAATTTTCATATCTGGATATACCTCTTACATTAACAAAGCAGAAGTTCATATATGATATTCTTAAAATCAAGGAGAGAAAATACGCCATATAAATTACGTTAGGTTAACTGAATATGGTAAAGTACAGGAGAGATATTAGCTTAGGGTAAGCGATGCCTTCGTTGAGGGTTTTCTGAAGCAGATTGGCTCTTATTTACGTTAGACATGGATAAAATCGCAAAACCCAATCTTTCAGGAATCCCATTTGCATGTGATCGAGCCCGGGGTTAATCACAGGACAACTAGTATCTACGCGAAGGGAGAAAAATATGAAAATGTACACGATATTTTTTTCATTTCATGAGAACTTTTACTCACGAAAGAACACTTATATAGAAAATTTACCCAAAGTTCTGTAATAAATACTCACCAAATAAGAAACTGCTCAAGTAGCCGACCACGACTGTGGTCACAACCCCGATAGAAGTGAACCACATATATGAAATCTTATATAGTGGGAAAATATACCTAGAAGGAAAGTTAGAAAAATTATAATAATATAGTAACATATCCAAAATTCTTTTTCGGTAATTAAAAATTTCAAAAATTATCTAAAATTAATTAGAAATGAAAATCGTGCACTCCCTTTATAAGTAATAAAATCCATTTAAATATATCAACAAAAATAAGATTTTCATGTCACAAGTAGATTAAATTAATCATCCTTATGAACTGCGAATTATAAACTACATCTTAAGTGTATTGAGTTACTGTTTGAAGGATCATATAATTCGCTGGCTTTCAAAAATTAAGTATGCGACGATAAACTTAATTAAAATAGAAATTTAAAGCTTTGATTAATACCAAATCGCACATGAAAGTACAAATCTGTCTAAGCATGAAGAAAATAAGCATTGTGCTACGAAGATGAAAACATTTAATTTTTGTAAATTATATGATGACATCACATATAAATCACTAACAAAGTCATGTTTAACCTTTTGCGGCACAGTGTGTCCGGTATGGACACACCTAAAACTTTCCTTCTGTACGCACAGAAAAATTGAATGAAAAAGGATTTATAAGTTACTATAAGTTACTCTGAACCTTCTTTACTTAGAGTAGATGGCAGCTCAACACAAACCAGTCCATATATTTTAGCCATGTTTAGTTTTTGGAAACCCTCATTTTTCAAAGAAATCTTCCAAATTATTTTAGGGTATAAAAAGAACTGTGAAAAAAATTTCTATGCTTTTTATTTGATTTATGAATCTTCCTTATTCTATATTAGTTGTAATTTTTACCTTCAAAAATAAATAAATTTTAAATTTTTACCTTACCTAAAATCAAACGGTGAACACTAGGTGTGCCCAAACCGGGCTCAACGATAATCTAGGACAACTGAGAGTATGTATTGTATTCTTTGTTTCTCCGAATCTCATCAGTCAGTTCATTGACAACAATGCTTGTTTCAGCACTATTTTCGGAGCTCTATTCAATCAGTGTGCCCACTTTGGGCACACCCACAGAATTAAACGATAAGTGCTATCTTCACAAAATTTTACTTGTGTACTCCTCTAGGCCTAATTAGACTGCCTATCTTTTTTTTAAATCAAAACTCCAACTTTAAAAGGTAGCGTGCCGGAAAGAGTTAAAGCTAAGAACAAATATTTTAAAGAAAACTTACATTAATAAGATACACGATTACTCCGGACTACACAAGCTTCGACTGCTGGTGCTTTCAAATGAGGTATTCAAGCATCGAAAATTTAGTAATATCCATTACTACATTAGGGCAATTTGCAACTATCTGACATGGGCTGGAGGAGGTAAAAGTGCAGAGACAGCACGCTTGAGGGCGTGGAGAGTTTCAATAAGGTCGGGGAAAAACGGCGGCCACTCCACACGAGAAATGTCTTCACTCTACTGTTACACTACTATGCTGACAAGATGAGGATGGAAAGGAGAAAATAAAGAGCAATTACTGCAGCGTACAGTCTTGCAGTTAGTGGTGCAGAATTTTCATTCCGATACCACGCAGTCGTCCAGAACCGTTTTAAGGGCGTGCAGCTGGGTGCGGTATCTCACAGAAGTTCCAGCCCACACTATGGTGCTGCCTGCTCTAAATGCATGATATCTGATAGCATTCTAGGCCTGATTCCGTATGTCTCGTTTTCTTAAGACCCTTGCAAATCTTTTTTATTATTATTATTCCAAGGTAATCTAGACTGGTCTGTGAACAGAACGCATGCGAAAATCTGGCACGGTCTGGTCTGGTAGAAATGTAGTGGGACACCCAATGTTTACCATAAGTAATGTAGGTTTGACACAATATGAGATGTCCCGTTAGATAAAGTGGTGAGTGGAACACAAACCTTTGAACATGAACGGGTAATCCTTTCATGCGAAATCTTCGGCGCACATTACTGGCGAATGTTGTCTTACGGAGCTATGCTGCAACCATGGATGTAACAACTGTGGAGATCGCTCGTTGATTCCTCTTTGCTATTACAGCAATATATACCGATCCTAAAAGGTGATAATCCTTGGTCGATCTCGGGTACAAGTGTCCTGACAACTGTTTGATTGGAATTGTTTCTACGTTCGGAAAATTACCGAATGGTCAATGCCAAAGAAGACAGCAACATCTTTGACCTATTCATCTTCTTCCAGTCATAGAAATACGAATGTAATCAAAACTTATCTTACGAAAGTTATAAATCAGCATTTAAATTAATGTTTTAAATTTTTATGTGTGTCTGTAGGTAGATAATTTGCAAAGAAAAACACAAGAAAAACCTTAAAAACTAAGGAATTTCAAAATTTTACATATCCTAGAAAATAATATATAATTTAAGATAGAATATATAAATGATACAGCTACATAAACCTTTAAAAAAGTAAAGTTCAAAAACCAGAATCCCCGGATGAAAATATGTCGGGAAATGTAAAAGCCCATTTGCCTTAATTTATTGCATTTTTGCACTTATGTAATATTTGTACGAATTTTTCTCCACAACATCGGTTTGTCTGATTGTAGAATAGTTCCGATATTCTTTTTTGTTTTTTACAATAGTTTTTCTTCAGTAATTTTAATTTTGGTAGAAACATAAATACTAAAATTCAAAGGGAATATTTTTTGGAAAACCTACACAAGAGATATTTAGGTTATTTTTCTCAATTTAGCTTAAAAATGGCTTATTTATTAAAGCCAAAAGTTGGTATTTTAGGGATCATTCGATACGCCAGCGCTCCGTCATAGCATATTTAGATACCTGAAATTGAAAGTTTTTTTCTTTTTTCTTTGTTCGTGGAAAAGAACCAGAACAAAGGGTAACAACGAATAAATAAAACCATATTTGTGAAACATACAACATAAATTCGATAAAGTTGAATTATTAAAATAGTATAAATACTGATACATCGACCTAAAGTGCAGGTTTTAATTACGGAATTCCAAAATTTCACAATTCCTTTTTTAGTCCAGAGGGGCTTTGTCCCTGAAGGACTATTGTTTTCGTTTTGCGATTTTGCGTTGGTTCATTATAAATGTCAGTTTCACTTTTCAAACTGTTGCCACTAATTGTTAGAGTCTTGCATTATATTATATTTGAAGAAATTAAATAATGAAAAAAATCTGCAAAAATGTATATATATTTCTCGCAAAATGATAAAACAACGGTACATAGAGCCATCGAATTTTGAATGACGTAATCCTACTGCGAATATGGGCATGTAGAAGACCAATTTGAAATCTGGAATTGGTTTCATTATCGATTTCATATTTTGTAAAACTTTTAACGAATTTTTGATTAACAAACTCAAGGATTTCAAAGCGAACAATGGCAACGTTGTACAGAAAAAACATTTTTATCTCCAAAGCGCGATACTCTGTATCAGAAATTCTAAAGATATGCTCAGTTTTAAATTATTTTGCGATATTGCTCTTGAATTAATTTTATGCTTTGAGTACGAAGAATGTGATATTTAATAAATAAAGGCAACAGACAAATTGTTAAAAAAAACGCCCCTTTAGACGTAATTTAAAATCTGAAACCTTTCAGACTTTTTTTTTCTTTTATTTCACTTGTAGTCTCTGTTTTTATTCATCTGCAAAGCAAAGAGTTGTGTAATAAATATTTTGTTTAAGCAGTTGCCTGTTTAAGTTGAACCTGTTTTCTGCAGTCGTATATTAAATTGACTGCTCCAATCGTTGCAGTTATATTTTCTTTACGCAAATCTGTGTCGCAGACGATGTCATAATATAACTTCATTACTTTAGACACAGCAGTTCTCGATACCAACAATAATTTAGCATCTAATGTCATCTATGTGCCAAACAGTTTTGTTTGGTTTATATAATTATAGCAAAGCACTCGAAGGCTACCTACCTAAGAGCTAAAGAGCTACCTGCCTAACATATTTAAACGCGATGTTTCAGTTGCACAACAGATTTCATATTTTAACATTCTAATTTTAGTAAATAAATCTTATCATTTAAAAATAATTAAAAACTACCAATACATGCAATCGACTTTTTTTTATTCCTCCATTACCTACTTTGCCGATAGATATTCAAAATTTCATTTGGCTACATTTCCTTTCGATCGGCAATAATATTTTTAGAAAGTTTCTTGATTGGCAACGTTTCCTTTTTAAGCTTCGGACTACGAGGCAAAAAATTCTTATCTTTTCCATCCCTCCTATAATGATCTCGATTCTTATATTTGCTCTAGATCGCCTCAATTTGCTAATTCGCGGCATTGCCATTTACACAGATGGTTAGCGTACTGAAGCAGGTACAGGTCTGTGTCATGCTAAATGATATCGTGAAACACACTTGGAAAAGAAGATTAAGTAATCATAACTCAATATTTCAACCTGAATTGAGGGCAATAAAGAAAGCTATTAAACTCTCCTACAGACTCGATACATACATAAGCTCATATATGCAGGGACTATCTATCTAGTTTGTAGGCAACTGGTGGTATAAATTCCAGAAATTCGCTAATCATAGAAATTCAAAAATTACTTCTCAATATAACGTCAGAGTTTCGTCCACAGTTATATACTGGGTTACGATACGAGCATAGTTGGCGATACGAGCATATAAGGATATACGAGCATAGTTGGCAATGAGCTTACTGACGAACTTGCCAGGCAAGCAGCAACTGGCACGAATTTGCCAGAACATCGCTTGCCGAGTTCCTTTCTTAAAAGGATTACTTACAAGAACTTAATAAATCACTGGCAGTCCAGATGGAATATTGCAACAACGGGAAGACGGACCTTTCGTTTTTATCTCCATGTCTCTGCTAAGATGCTCACATTTTCCTCTGCATTGGCAGCCTTTCTTTCAGGCCACGAACCTTTCATAACATATCTTCATCAATTTGGCATTACGGAACTGGACGCTTGTGAATGTGGCCAGAAAGAAACTCCGAATCATTATGCCTTTTCACTTGATCAAGCCATCTGATCAATACTGGAAACAATGGAACTCACACCTATTAAAATCTAAGGAAGAT